CGATTGTTTGATTGTATTAACTTGATTCTTTAGATATCGAAAATTAAATAAAGAACATTATGTTAATTTAAGCGTACAGAAACGTTGCTGTTGTTTCAGCAAAGATCTTATTTTCACTTTACCGAGTGCCTAGTAGGTAATTTGCAGATTACCTAGATAATCTGCACATTACCTAGATAATTTGAGAAATAGAACAATTTTAGCAACTTTAACAGATCACGCTAGTTAATCTGCAGATTAGTTAGGTAATCAGTTAGGTAATCTGCAGATTAACGAGTTTCCGAGCTTTAGCGGTAACATATATATATATATATTAAATATTTTAATAAAATACAGAGAAAATGGAAAATATACCTTAAACAATGGTCATCAAGATATGTCTACAACTTAACTCTAATCAGAGAGAGAGTTTACATAAGTTTCTCTAATAATATGTCGGGTTATATGCCTCTTCTATCTATGTGGCAGGTTCGTACCTCCATTGATGGATACTGTTAACTGCCCCAAATAAGGGAAATTTACCCTTTTTATAGAAAAATTCCTCCAATCATGGCCTATGATTTGTATCACCTGATGGGATGATCAGATGTGTCATTCGGCCAGATGGTGTGAGAAAATCAAGGTAAGCTACAGTTTAAAGGAAGTTTATCTTCCTTTTTACTGTAAAAGTAAAACATTTGTCAGCTTTTAACAGGATGTTGCTTTATTTTTTGTGTCTTTTATTACATCTATATAAATATATATATAAAAATGGACATGTGTGTCCCTATATTTCACTTTTTAGCCAAAACTACACATCACACATGAATGGTGTTTGTATGTGGTAGTAGCCCCAAGTTTCCATTCGTGCACTATGGTGGTTGCGTCTCAATAGCTATAAGGGTGCATGAGATATGGGGGCTAAAAGTGGTTGATTTCGAAGATTTTAAAAATGTTCAAATCGTTTTAAATTCTAATTTGTATTCGAATTTGAATTTAATTTGAATTGGTTCGATTATAGAAAGATTGTAAATTTTTTGATTCTGATGAAACCGTGTTGTTGTTATTAAGCTGTTTCTTTGCAGACACACTAAGGTGACATATATCAACACTATTAAGCTGTTTCTTTGCAGACACACTAAGGTGACATATATCAACACTTGGCAACTTATTGACTATTTATTCAGTTGTACCCCAACTGAATAAATAGTCAATAAGTTGCCAAGTGTTGATATATGTCACCTTAGTGTGTCTGCAAAGAAAAAGATTGTAAATGTTCCAGAAAATTGATCAAATTGAAAATAGTTTATTTGACTGGACATAAAAATTCTCTAATTAGTCTGGAAATGGGGGACCTAATTCTTGCATTCTGTGCTATAAGGGTGTGGGAGATATGGGGTTGAAAGTGGTTCACTTCGAAGATGTGTAACAATGGAAGTGTCAGCAATGGAAGTGTTAACAATGGAAGTGTTGAGTAACAAAGGAAGTGTTATTATAAAGCGGCATGCAAGATTTACAGGCGGTTTTTGCATTTTTGTGGGAAATCGAACATATTTTTAGACTCACATAAAAATTCTCTAATTAGTCTGGAAACGGGGGACCTAATTCTTGCATTCTGTGAAAACAGGTAAGATTGGCTATAATGTAATTATCTTAATCTTCACTATCGTTACTTTTTGCCCAGCGAAGCGGGTCCTTGCAGCTAGTTAATTTAATAAAAATATTCCCAAAAATTTATCAGTATAAAGAAAATTTTTCCAAATAAAATTAAACTTACAGTTTAATTTATGGACGATCTTAGGACTATATGGCCTGTTCAGCACTTCACATCATTGTATGAATATGTTCAAAATTTGTTTTTCTACTATTTGACTATAAATGGCTTTAAAATAATTATTCAAATATTACAAAAACAAAACTATTCTTTCTTCATACCAGTTTTACTTACAATGATTTTACTTAAACTTTTAATAGTAATGCTATTTTAAGTGTTTCTGAATTTAAGATAAGATTTAAGAGAATTTAAGAAAGAAGAATTTAAGATTAGTTTGTAAATCTTGCTAAAAATTAGTAACTTGGATACTGTAATATACTGTTCATATATCAGAAATAATTGAAAAATGGAAATAATTTTGATGGTTTTTAGAAATATCAGAATATTTTATGGAAATAAAATAGTATTTTAAAAAATGATTAACGTAGCTAATTTTTAACAATTGTTTGAACCAGGAAGTATCTGGAAATCTTTATGCTTATGATTGTATATTTTGATGATATAAAATTGAAAGTTATTCATAAATAAGTGTATTGTTAGTTTTTTATTTTTCTGTAAAAATGAATTATTTTTTGAAACTGTCTACAGTGTGATATTTTTAATTATACTTGTAAAATCAGTATGGTATTTTTAATTATATTTGTGTCCATTTTGGATGTTTTTGTGAACTAGGACTAGTTATACTGAGGGAAAAGAAACATAATATCCAATTAAAATATATTTATTGTAACATAATCTTGTTACAGTAAAAATCAAGATTACGTTACAATGAATATATAATAATTGGAAATTGTTTTTCTCTCTTCCCTCAGTGTAACAACTCTTAGTTCACAAGATTGTCCCAAGTGGACACAAATATAATACAGTAAAACCCCACTTAACACGGGATGTGTTCCTAGATGACATAGCATTAAATGAAACAGCATTAAACATAGAGTGAATAGGAAAAGGAGAACACGCGACCAAAAATAAACAAATTTTACTTCAATTTTAAGTTGTTGTTATATTAATTTGCATAATAATATATGTTAAAAAAAAAAAACACAAACATATGCATACAGAAATATAAAGTTCATTTCTTGTGACGAAGGTTCTGGCTTTTCTAAAATTCTTGTTTTTTGCGATAAAGTCATGTAGTTTCATTTGTTGCTTTTTTTCCTTTCCTTAAGCAAATGTCAGTAGCAAGAGATCGCATCCAAAATGTTTTGCTTTTGCACTCTTTTTAAAATCTGGATCATTCGCTACAATTTGATCAACGATTTCGGTTATCGTTACCAAACTTTTACTAAGGAAATCTGTAGAGAAATTTTTTGGGTTCTTCGTTTTTAGAGTCTCTATTTTCCAGTTCTACACAAATTCCTTGTTCTGCTATAATAAGATTGTTGTTGGTAAGGTTCTCACTAGAAACTTGCAATAACTCCTTGTCTACATTGCCTAGTCCTGCTATATTGATTAGGTCAACAATTTGATCAACCTAATGATACAGCAATAGGCTCTTCTCGTTGAGAATTCTTGGATACCTTCAGCCATAACTTCTTCCACACTTCGTTCATGCATTTATCAGTTAATTCTTGTCAAACAAAGTTGATATTTCCTATGGCATTCATGATGTACTTTTTCCCAAACTTGCACAAAACACAGATTTAAGGAAAGTACAGCACTACGACAAATTGCCACATTTTGCTGATTCGTTTATGTTCGTAAATAATTGTATTATATACGAATTAATAAAATGCCATGATGATTTAAATCAGTTTAAATTTTGAGGTTTTTTCAGGCTTTGAGCAGACTGCTCAAAGCCTGAAAAAACCTCAAAATCGTTATATCGAATCAGCATTAAGCATGGTCTTACTGTATAAGTAATTAAGGACAAGAATGGTATTTTTAAATAAATTTTTATTTAATGTTTGATATGGATGAAAATTATTCTATTAAATGAAGAGTTAAATTTGTTTTTATTGTTAAATTTGTTAAAAAAACTGCAGTGAAATATTATGTTATTATTTGATAAGAATATTAATTAAATAAAATTTTGCAATACAGAAGTTGATTTTATAATAATTTCTGATAAATTTTCTAATAAATGCAAATATACAGTTAAATTAATTCTTTGTATCAGAAACATACCAAACCTTTTTCACAAACATGGAAGTAAAATTATAGAATTGTTTTAAAATGGTTGAATATACTATGACATTTTCAATACTATAAAAAAAAAAAAAAACATTAAATGCTTTATCAAATAACTCTTTTTATGTTTAATGTATCTTATTATATTAAAACGTTTGGGATTCATTAGATCATTATAAACCAGAATTATTCCAGATTTTCTCTGTTTTTATAGTTAAATATTTTGTAGTTAAAAGCCTGTCTTACAGAAAACTTAAACAGGAATTTTTACTGATATTAATTTAAAATATTTTCAAACTTTATTTATTTAGACTGAAGATATTATTTTATTTAATCAAATAATTAATTTGGTATTTTAAATTTTGAAATTTCAAATCTGTGTAATAAAAATGAGTTTTTATTTCATTTAATTTTAATTAAAAAATATGTAATAGATATATATATAATTAAAAATTATTGTTACTTTAAAGTTTTTGATTCAACATAGCATGTTAAAAAATTTGTTATAAAATTGCTTACATCATTAAAAAAATTTAAAATTTTCTATATTCTTAGGGTCATCTGTTTTAGTTCATGGAGCAGAAGGAACTGATGCAACTTTACAGATATGTTCCTTAGCTCAAGTAATATTAGATCCAGACTGCAGGACAGTTCGAGGTTTTGAAGCTTTAATTGAAAGAGAATGGTTGCAAGCAGGTCATCCATTTTCTACAAGATGTCACCATGGAGCTTATGCTCCAACAAATGTCCGCACAAAAGATCAAAGCCCAACATTTCTTATGTTTTTAGATTGTGTTTTTCAGGTATGTATAATTTTATTTTTATAGAATTGCACTATTTTTAAATGCTGGAATGGTCTTTCTTTATAATTTATATATCTATTCTGAAAATTTTGTATTTATGATGGAATTATTTACAATTTAGTTACCACAAAGAAAAAATTAAATTGGTTTAAATAGAATAAGAAAGATAGAATAAAGAATATAGATAAAATAAGAATAAGAAAAATATCTAATTTAATAACTACAGCTGTCAACAAAATCAGTTTTTGATAAAACTAACTAAACAGTTTTTAGCAACAGTTTTAGCAAGAACTGAAAATTGGTTTCAAAACTAGTTTTGAATAGTCAATGAAATTAATATAATTGTGTTTACTTGATATAACTTGGCAATAAAATATTTTTCAATTTAAGATAATTCCACATAAATGATATACTACCAGAAAATTTCAATATAACATTAATTTGTACTGTAAGTGACACCAATTTACTATACTTCTTGAAAATAATGCCATGCATCATTTGATTTGTGTAAATGTTAAAACTAAAATTATCATGAAAATGGGCATGTGAATTAATTTTAAAACAATAAAATTTTCAAGTGCTATTTGTTAATTAGACTCCAACATTTACCAGCATTGAAGAATCATTGGTCTTTTTTGGCAGGAATAATATGCAATAGAGACATATTGATGAATCTTGGCTAATATTTACTGTATTAACGTTTAAAAACCCTATTTTTACCGAAACAGGGTTTTGCTGAAATCAATTTTGAGAATTTTCAGCTTTTGGAACTAATAACAACATATCAAGCATCACTATTTGCTGTACTTTTTTAAAGCATTTCTAAGTTTCAGTTGCAGACTTGAATTTTTGTATGCTTAGGTTTTAAATATTGAAAGGAAAATGAAAATTTTAATTTTTCGGTTTAAATGATAAGAAAGTCAATTTTTTATATTAGAGATGATACTTATTTGTTGAGCTGTAGGATTGAAATTTCCAGTTTCAAAGTAAAATAAATGCAAAAAACTACATTTTCTTAAGTATTTTAAAAAGATATTTTATAAATTATGTTATAAAAGTACTTTTTTGACACTGCATTTTTATGTTATAATCAATACTGGATTTATATATGCATAGAGTAACTACACCAGTAATTGACATTCTTAGAATGTTTTAGGTTTAATATGTTGAGAAACACTTCAACATATGAACTTCTTTTATACAGAAAGTCATATTGAAAGATAAACTTTTACTTTATTGATAGCTAGTTCAGAAATATTAGAAACAATTACTTTTCTGGGAAAATTTTTTTGCTAATTTAAGAGAATTAAATAAAGCTATTAAAGGAAACCAAATGATAATTAATGAAAGAAACATTTTCAGACCCTTATTTGGACAAACTTCAGTTTGCAGTAATGTTTGAAATGAATACAAGGTATATGTAGTGTTTTGTAGTGTTTCTGAAGATTTTGAAAATTTAAAATTTAAATGTAAACTTATATTAAATAAAAAAAATTAAGTCAGATGTAATTAGTATAAAAGTAAACAAATGGAAAAGTGAAAATAAAGAAAATAAAAATTAAAGTAAAGTTAATATAACATGTAAAAATACATAAATGAAATATAATAAAATACAGTGACTGGCAATCAAGCTGACAGCCATATTGACTTGGCCTGAAGAAAGAAAGAGCTACATTTAAGGTGTGGGGACAGTTCAAGTATTTTACTGCAGTAAGAAAAGACTGTGGAATTGATCTGCCAGATGAAGGCAGATGATAGATATTGCATAGCATGCACATTAGCTTGGAGAGGCAGCATATGTAAGACTGTTCCAGTATTCTAAGTTGTGCTTCATGAATTCTTTATGCATTAATCCCAGAGTGTTCTGATCTTATGCCCATTGTGCTTTAAAAATATTTAAATAATAATGACCATACAAACAATTTTGGGTCATTTTATGTCTTTTATTCTTTTTCAAAATTCAGTTAGAGACAGATGGTAGACAACTTGAAGATAAAAATAATTCATTAAAATTTGATAAACAATATGACATTAAAGACACTTGCTTAATACACCCAATGTCGACATTTTGTTTCAGGATCTGGTGCCAACTACACAGCACTAAAATTTTTAACAATATCAATTAGGTCATAGTTGTATTTAAACAATGAAAAAAGCCATTCTTGGTTTATGTAATTATGTAAATATTGTCTAATTTCCAAATTTTCACCAGGGAACTCCAGAATGGTTTTTTATTAGGTGTATTAATTACCATATTTACTCAAATATAAGACAATCTGGCATATAGGACGAAGTGTGACTTTAAAGATCAAAATAAAGAAAATTAGATCTATTAATACAGTTCTAATTTTATTTCATTTAATAACAAATAAAATATCAAATGCACACATTGTCCCACAAAAATCTTGTAAAATCGACAACATAATATGTTTATGTAAAACTGGACAATTGGGAACTTTTTTGCTAATTCTTAACAATCGAATTCACTCTTTGTCGATTATACTTATGAGTTTCTTCGAATTCTGATTTCTAAATAATCATTTGTTTTCATGTGGGAATGAATTAAAACTTATATCGGGCTCCCATGTAATTTTGGAATTCAATTCAAAAGCTTTGCTTTTCCTATGGCTATTCATCTTTACTCCTGACAATACACAAGAATGATTGAAACGATTCAGATAAAATACTTTCACTTTTAAACACCAGATGAGAATCTGGTAAAAAATGCGAATACACAGTTTACAAAAATTATACAAAAATGAAAAGAATCCTTCGCTTGTGCGTATAGGATGACCTAGGTTTTTGAAGTAGTGAATAATGGATAAAAACCTCGTCTTATATGCGAGTAAATATGATATGTGTTTTTTATGTCATATTGTCAGTTAAAATTTAATTAAGAATTGTTTTTATCTTTAAGTTGTCTACCATCTGTCTGTGGCTGGATTTCAAAAAAGAATAAAAGATTTTAATTGACCCAAAATTGTATGGTCATTATTATTTAAATATGAAAGTAAATCTTGGCACTATACAATTTATGTAAAAAGTATATTATTTGAGATGTTTTCCTTACTACTGTGTTTGTTATTTTTGTGCCTAGATTTCTAGTAGTAGAGCTGATATAATAATAGCTGAGTCTCCTTGGTAAATTTTATGATATTATATACTTTTATTATTTCTGTAATTCCATGCACTTTTTTTATCTCTTCTCAAGATCAATATGAGAGAAGAAAGATGTTTTACCACCAAATGGCCTCAATGTACTGTCTGAACAATTTGTAAGGTACCCTGTAACTGGTGTACTGGCATCTGCTTGATGGTATTTCTATATACTGGTTTTCTTTTTGCAAGTTATCTTTTACCCACAGTGCCTTTTTTTTATTTTCTCTTTGACAATATTTTTTGTGCATGATGACAACTTAACACTTAATTTTGTTCCAGAATGTACGGATTTTCTAATAACTTCATTTTTCATAATGGTTTTTATTGTAGAATTTGTTCAAACCAAAATGTTTATCTATAAGATATTGAATTTTCTCCAGTTACAAGACAATCCAAAATTTGAATTTTGTATTCAAGGAGATAGGTGTCTGGAAAAAAATCTCACAAAGTATTTCAGGCTCTAGTCAATACGAACTTCTGATGGAAACCAGAAGTCATGTTATTTCAATTCAAAAATTTCCCCTGAATGATGTTAGATGACTGGCACGACTCTATTGTTAAAGGAAAAGTATGATGTATAGAGGCAAGCCACTACTAATTTGAGGTGGAGAGCACATGTTTTAAATTAAATAAATTAAAAATACGATTAAAAATTGCAGCCTGACATTGTGACGATATCACTATAAATAATTGCTCATTGTAAAGTAAAAATTTTAGCAAAAGCCAAGCTGGATGGATTGAAGACAGCAACAAAGTTTTCATTTTATCTGGGGCTCTGAAAACAAAAACATCTATTAAATATTGAAAAAAGCAGGTAATTCTGGACAGAACAGATATGCAAAGAGGAAGAGCGGAGGATTATTGCAAAAATTCTTCATTTTCCTTGATGAATCATGCTTCATTCTTTTTCACTTGATTATTGGTAATGATGGATTTTATACCAGTGATATTTCTTCATGTACAAATTAAATTTTCTTAGATAAAAGAAATTTGAGGGCAAAGTTTTGGTTTGTTGCAATGGAATCAAAAGGATTGATTCAAGCACTAATCAGAAAATTAAGTTTTGCTATCAATGCCTAGTGAAATTTAAATGAATGTTTACAATGTTGCCTGATTCCTTACATTAAAAATAATTATTCTCAAGCAGAATGTCTTCAGGTCAGATCAAGCAAGTTTCCACAATGCCAAAACTGTAATGTACTGTATTATCTACAACAAGAAAACTTGCCTTTATTAAAAAGGTGGACAACCCTGCAGATAAACCAGAAATAAGGGCAGTTAAGGACTTTAGGACAATTCTCAAGGTACCTGTTTACAAAAATGAGTGGAAGGAGAAAAAAAATCAACTGACAAATTGCATTAAGTATTGTCTAAAAACTTGGACTAAAGATTTTGTATAGAAACTTTACTGCACATCTAAAATTGAATTGACTACATTTGATGATGGGGGCTTGTAGAATTTCAAAAATAAAAGATAATGTACAGCTTTTCATCACCTTTCAAATGAATATTTAGTTCATAGAGTTTTCTTTTTAAAATGGAAACACTATTTTACATAAATGTGTGTAAATTTTTTTCTAGATTTTCTGTTTACAATGTCAGATAATTCAGCTAAATTATTTGACATTGTAGTAGATTTACAAAAATTTTTTCAGTTGTAGTTAATAAATCAATTTTGTCTAATTTATAATTTTTTAATAAATTTATATCATTTAACCAAATAATGTTTTTGAAATGTGAATAAAAATGCTTGTATTTTTTGTTTAAAACAATTTTATTCATCAAAATATTAATCTTCACATTCAATTACACTTTCCCAATGGGAAGGCAGTTTGAAAATACTATTTTTAGCATTAAAAATTGATTTACTTTCTCTCTTGTAGTTGTGTATTTGTAAATTGTTTTCCACATATATGATTACATTTTTTTTTTTTTTTTTTACTTTGGATAATCTGACAGAGATAAGTCAGCAGAATAGGAAGGATGAGGTAAAATTTCTCGCTCCAATTGCATTATTTTGTTTTTTGTAATTTCTGCAATGTCTGGGTGAGCAGTACCTTGTATAAACAAAAACACCTTGATTTACCAAAGATGACATTTTAGCCTTAATTTGTAACGTATTCTTTGTAGCTGCTCACTGTACAAATCTGCTGTGAGAGTGACCAATGTTCAAGTACTCATGATGAACAATACCCCCTCAAAGTACACCAAATACATAGAAAGATTTTTTCAGGAATCATTTAAATCTATACTAATATTATAAAGTGGTAATGTTTGTAAGTATGTAAGTAAGTTTGTATGCAGCAGGTAATCTCTGAAATTACTCATCCGATTTCAAAAATTCTTTCACCAATATTTAGAATGGAACTTCAGGATGGACATAGGCTGTATATTATTCCGTTAAACATTCATATAAATTAAAAGATATAATCTAGGTTAAGGCTTTTATGTCCAACAGATGGCGCTATGAGTACGACACCCTAAGTTTGCTTTTCTGTGAGGCATTATGCTTTTCTGTGAAAATGAACTAAAGCAGATCATCATCTATCTATTTATATAAATAAAAATGTAATGTTCGTTTGTTCCTACCAATTTTTTTGAAATTTTGACGCAACGCTGCATTCGAATATGCACGTGTTTTTATATAATATACATGTCGAAATTCAACTCCACTGAAGGGAGATGGTTAGGATTAAGGCTTACCATGAAGAACTTGGCTTCTATTATACACTAACAGAATGTACACTAAGAAGAACTTTTTCGAAAAATTTCTCCCCCCACGGGGGAAGTGTTATAAATTTATAATAGATACATTTTGAGCTACAACAACGTGTGGCGGGGTCTGCTAGTCATTTATAAAAACGTTATTTTCAAACTACCTTCCTGTTGAGAAAGTGTAATTGAATTTTGAAGAATAAAATTATTTTAAACAAAAATTACAAGCATTTTTATTTAAAAAAATGACATTATTTGGTTCCCTGATATAATTCATACAAATCTTAATTTTTATTTGATGTTTCTTCAGTTAAACACCAAATATCTGATTTTTAGAAAAACTATTTCATGTTGGAAGAAACACAATCATACTAACAAATCCTTCAAACTAAATTAAATTAATTCTTTTTACCTCTATTTTTAGTATTAAAGCTTTTTTATTTCTTTATTGTCTACTTGGATCTTGTTTATTAATAGGATTTATTATGTTGGTGTAATTTCTGATTAGCAAAGAGAGGAAATCTTAGTCAAAAGTCAAAACAAACTATCTTTATTTTCACCTGGTTGACTTTTACGATTGAAATAAATCATCCATAGGTTACTAATACTTATGGTTAAAAAAGTTTAATACCACTTTAATACTAAAAATGTTTAAATAAACTTTAATAAATACAAAGATTAATCTATAAAAACAAAACACTGAGAGTTTTAATGGCTAAAGTCTGAAAGCAATGACAATGACACCTGGTTGATAGGAAAGTTGGTGCAATTTTTTTTCATTCCTTGTTCTATTAGTTTTCATTAAAGTAAACCCGACAAAAAGCACAAAATAATTTGAAAATTTCAATATTCTAAAATTTGTGGGCAGATTTGAGACATGTGTGCTTACTTGAATGAAAAAAATATCAAATAATGAAATTTACACTAAAAATTTTGAAATTTTGTATGGAGGATTTTCAAAACCACATTAGAACAAAGCAGGAAATTGTGTATGAGGGATATCCCAATTTTCAAACTGTGTTGTACAGTATATGGGATACCTGTACAGTACAATATATTATATATTATTGAATAAATTTATTTTTTATGTGAAACAAATATATTGATTTATAAAGCCAAATTTCAATTCATAAAATTACAGATACTTTAAAATGTTAATGGTTCAAAAATATCTTGTAGCTTTTAAGCAAATGTAATATGAGTGATGATATCTTTTTATTTTAGATCCACCAACAATTTCCATGTTCCTTTGAATTTAATGAACAATTTCTAATAATGCTTTTTGAACATAGTTATGCATCACAATTTGGTAAGTTATTTAAATAAAGTTTTTCAGAGTAAATTATTATTATTATTGTTAGTATTGTTATTTTTGTAAGAAATTAATATATAATTTAAAATAAAATTATTTTTAAAAATTTTATTGTCATTTATTTTTGTTAAATGTCACACTTTATTGGGCTGCAATTTGAAAAAATTGTAGACCTATAAATTTTCACTATTGTCTGTCTGTTCTTCCTTAATCTTGAGGATGATGTTAAATGAAATTGATACCAGATATGGAAAGATTAGGGGCAGAAGGCCCCGATTAACTATATATGAACTTATGGTGCAAACCGGAAGTCATATTATTTCAGTTCAAAAATTTCCCCTGAACAGAGTTAGATAGATGACTAGTATGACTCTATTGTTAACAGAAAAATGATGATGTTCAGAAACAAGACATACCAAAATCAACACTACAAATCAATTATTTATTATGACATCCTGACAATGCCAGGCTGCAATTTTTAATCATATTTTAAACTAAATAAATTTAAAATATGATTAAAAATTACAGCCTGGCATTGTGAGGCTGTCACAATAAATAATTGCTTGTTACATTTATATTTTACAAGAATAAGATATGTTATAATTGAAATATTTCAATAGTAGTAAGTATGTAAAATTATTTTTTTGCACTAAAACTCTATTTTGCAATTTATATAATTAAAACATCTGATATTTGATATTTATACTTTATAGGAACATTTTTGGGAGATTGTGACAAGGACAGGAAAAATCTTAAGTTATCTGAAAGGACTGTTTCATTATGGTAAGCATTTAAAAATATATTTTTTGTTATTATAAAAATTCATGTAAAGTTATATAAGCGAGATCTAATTAAATTGTATATATGAGTTTCAAATTAAATTGCATATATATATATGTGTGTGTGTGTGTGTGTGTGTGTGTGTAAATTCTTCAATTTTATTTTATTTCTGTTGTATAGTTTACTGTTGTCTGCTTTTGTTCCTAGACCAAGAATGTTTTTTTTTGTCTTCTGTGTAATCATGAGAGCTCTCATTTTTCATGAGTCATTTATACATGAAGACGGACTTTTTGTTCTCTAATGTCTTTTGACCTGGGATAAAACAGATGGTTAGGGATATACCAATCAAAAATGGCACCTAGGGCACATATCAAAATTGTGCCCCTTCGTAAATTATCTTAATATAAAAAACAGATACATTAAATAAAACAGTCATAAATCTTACTTGCAAAACATATTTATTTTCTATTTTATAACAAAATTGAGTCCGTAAATCCTTTACACTTACAATTGCATCTTCCTGGCCTTCTACAATGCAGACATATCAATGATGTTTTCGAAATCAGTTTTTTCCGTTTCTTCTTGCTCTACACTGAGCAAAGCTAGGTCGCATGACCTTTCTTGACCCATTGTAGCTCTCAAATATGAAAGTATTAATTTTAACTTGCTGAAAGATCGCTCACAACTTGTGATGGATACTGCAGTTGTGAGCAGAATTTGAATGGAAATGCACAGATTCAGAAATACACTTTCATCTCGTACTGCACAATAAATTCAAGTAGCTCTTCACATTTCTTTATGTTGGTGTTTTTTCTTGAAGATATTATCATTCGAACGTTCAATATTTCTTTGTATAACTGTTCCCCGTTAACATCGCAACCATAGAAATCTCCAAATTCTTTACATTTCTTTTTTAAATTGTTGCAGTCGTCAGTGCCATAACAGTGTTTTAACATCTAGAAGAAATCCAAATCTGGTGTCAGTTTCATGCAAACGAGTAAACCTTTCACTCATTTCACACACAATATGATCCAGTGATCCCTTCATTACTTGTTCCATTTCTTCTTTAGCCGTCAACTCTGCATTCAACTCTCTCCAGCCATACATTTTTTTTGCCTTTGACGCCTTTTCATGGCTACATCCCATTCCTGGCAAAGATTGAATTCTCTTTTTAATGCCTCATTAACTAACCTCTCTCCTTCATTTGAAAAATAGTCTTGGAGGGCTTTTATGTCCAAGGCAGCATTATGAAAATTCATACTAAGGTCCTGGAGCCGCTTTTGGACACGGTCAATGGAAGTGAGTACATTGTTCTAAAATCCTAACAATGTCAGAAAATCGTAGGACAACATGTGATTATGAAGAAGTCTGGCCTCACTTCTTGTTTCAGTGGTTTGATTGCTATCTTCTGTCATATCTTGGAGAAGGTTCAGCATATCTTCAAGATATTTGTGAACTGGCTTTACTGCTTCTACCCTTGCACTCCATCTTGTTTTGGACTCTGATTTTACAACTACAGGCACGCATTTTTTGAGTTTTTCCCAGTGCAGAGTGGAATGAGTAAAGAATACGTAAAGAGCTTCAATAGTTCCGAAAAACATGACTATTAAAGTGTCCTGCTTGGCTGCATGTACACCGACCAAATTGAGTGAATGATTATCGCAATTCACAAATATCGCCAGATTATTCTTTTTGCTTATTCTTTGGTGTACTTCAGTTCGGTGCCCAGCCATCACAGCAGCATTGTCATAACATTGTGAACGACAATCCTGTAGATCCATATCATCTTTCCTTAGCTGTTTAAATATTTCATAAACTGAACTTCCAGTGTCCTTTTGACTTATCTGGATGAAACCAAGAAAGGACTCTCTAACGCAGACTGATTTTCTCTCAAAATCAACCTCTACATATCTTGCTACTTCTGACATCTGCTCATGATGTGCCTGATCAGGCGTCGAGTCAAACATGAGACTGTAATATTTTGATTTGCAAATACTTCGCAATAAAGTTTTGCAAACAGTGGTCGCCATCAGATGAATGAACTCATTTTGAATTTGAGGTGAAAAGTAAGATGTGGTTCTGGGATTATTTTTAACATGAGTGAGATGGTTATTCATAATGTGGTCGAATATGGCCAAGAGTTTTATTAATCCAAAGAAATTACCAACATTGCTAGATTCGGTTGCATCGCATGTAGTGAGTGACTCCCTGTGACCTCATAATGCAAGATTTGAGAAGCAACAAATTTGATACAGTGAAGGATTCTTTTTATTATGTTATACCAATTTTGTTTTTCTGTCTCGATCTGGGTTTGAAGTTCAGCATCAATGATCCCTTTATTAGCTGAAAAATTTATTTCCATTTCCTTTCACTGAGTGAAACACTCACGATGGTTCTTTGCATTTTCATGTGTAGTGAGCCTTTCAGGTGCTTTCCAGTGGGTAAATCCATCTTTGTGCTTTAATGAAGATGTCTTATCTTTTCACAATTAGATAATCAAACAGATGCAAAAAGCCACTTTAAAATTTTAGTCGGGCAATAGACTAGCCACGAGTGATTCACTTTTTTACCTCAATTTCTTAGTTTCTTCTTAAACCAACTTTTGTTCATACAATGGTTATTTGTTGGCAAGAAAAGACCTTCAGCAGTATTTTGAAAATATTTTGAACCCAATTTAATTATTTCTGTTTTTAAATAATCTGACAGAATTGCTTTCCCTGTATTCTTATCAAACTCAAGAAGTTATAAAAAAAAGTATCACCTTTCAAACACTCCAGCAAATTATTTAATACTGTAAAAATGTTTTTGACCATCTTTAATGGTCTTTGTCAGTTAAACGAATAATAATAAAAAGAACATTAAAGAAATAGAACATAAGGAAATTAAAATTACAAAAAAATAATAAGTGTGCTTTTGTTAAAAAAAAAAAAATACAATGATGAGCACTTGGGAGCATAAAATTTTTTGCAAAAATTATAGTTTATCATCATAAAGTGATTTCCATGCTGCAGACAAAGACTCAGCGTCTCTATGATTAATACACTTTGTTTTTACTTGTGCTTTATATATTTCCAGTTTTTCAAGGTGTTTGATAGTGTGTCTGCTAGTCATTGGTCTCATAATGGAAGCTTGTTCTCATAGAATGTTAACATCATGTTGGTTAGCATTAGTTGCTAAAACTGTATTATCCATGTTTTTGCTGATAGAGTACTTGTGTTCTTTGATTTTTTGTCCCAAGTTTTGCAAGGTAGCACCTACATGGACACTATCAGAACCAAATTGAAGGTCTTTAATTGGTATGGAGTAAATGCCTGATACAGCATTCCTGAGTAACCTGTAAACTGTAGGATTATGACAATAAATGATGCGTAAATTATTGAAGTTTGCAATATCATTCATCATTTTCCTTAAGAACAGGTAATAGTTGAGTACCGCCATACATTTATTGTTAATTATGGGAGAATGGTTGGTTTTATTTTGAAATGTTGCGATGAGTTTTGTACGATATTCCTTTGGTAACCATTTTGCTCTGCTATTTGGATAATGTAATTCAATTCCTTGTAAATGTGAGATCCGAATAGTCCCTGGGTCTAATTAACAATTTAAATATAAAGTTACAATTTTGAAGTGAAATATTCTTTCATTTTGGGTGTGAAAATATAATTTTTCTAACGTGGGAAAGCTGATAAAAGAGTCACTTCCTTTAACGGAAGTAGACACATCCTTTTGTTTTCCATTTATCTATTACAAAATCTCACCACCCTGGGAATTGTCGACCCCTCAATAATTCCCCTTTCCCTCTGTTCATGTGAGAGAATACAAAAATGCTGATTGGTCATAAATCAGGAGATATAGTCAAAAATCTACATGATTCAAGGAGTGCGTCAGATCTCATAGAGAAGAGACGTAGTCCATACAGTCTCCCTAAGGCCAACGCTCTTAGTTGTATCCAATTGAGTATAAAAATGAGTTAATTTAGGAGAAAAGAAGAACCTTTTAATAATGTGACAAATCCAGACCTCTCCATGAAACGAGGTATGATCATAGAATACAGATGAAGATAAAGACAAAGCACACTTTGAGGTAGAATGATTATCAATGAATTTGTGAGCTCTCTCCCTCTCACGTATATTTTAATTGAATCCATACTCTCTCTCAATCGGAAATATATAATTATTGAACATTTCAATTTTGTGAAATTTTGTTTACTTTTGTTTGATTAAATTCTTTTATTATTTGTTAAAAGATGTCTCTCAATTATCTGAATCAAATCCATAAGATATCTACACTTTTTAAAATACAATTTTAGAATACGCGGATTAACACGCATGGTTTAAATTTAAACTGGTGTCGGGAATCCTGACATAGGAACGAAGAATTGTGAAATCCTATAGTTCCACTTTAGATATATTCAAACTGTAAGTCCCTCTGCCCTTGAATTTTCTCAGATTAGGAAAAGCCATTCTTTTTGACGACCTGAGAACTAGTTTCACCAACTAGCCGCCGAATAAGTGGTACTAACAATCCTAGAGAAAGGTATCCCTGGCTAATCTCACATAAGTATCACATATATTTGTACAATGAGTGTAGGCTTGCTCGATCCAAGAGCAGAAAGCTCTTCAACAGATCTCAGGCACTTTAAAGTGCCTGAGATCTGTTGAACAATTTGGGATGATGGTGTTATTTAAGCCTGGTTTTCAGTAGATGTTGGTCCATATTTCACCTTTTTTGCATGTGATATTAATATCAAGGAAAATGGACATTATTATAGCTTTCTTGGTCAAATTGCAACGTTAAACCATAGTTATTATTACTGATGTCATTTAAGAAACATAGGGTATTGAGATTATTTTTCCATAGAATGACTACATCATCAATGTAACTAGAGTAAAGAATAATATCTTTCTGGAATTTTGGTAATAAAGTATTTTCTAGTTGACGTAAAACCAAATCACATAGTATAGGCAACATAGGGCTGCCCATTGAAACTTCTCTACTTTGCAGAAAACATTGCCTTCAAATTTGGAGAAAGATGTATGACATATTAAATCCGTAAGTTCCAGGATGTGTTTATGGTGTTTCTTGGAATTCTCAATGTTGTTAAAAGTCCCTTAAAGCATAGAAACAAGGCGGCAATTTCATAGAGGGATATAAAGATTCCTAATCCAGGACCATCATGTATTCCTTGTCCTTTTTATTATTATACGTTTAATTGACGAAGACCGTTAAAGATGGTTGAAAACATTTTTACAGTATTAAATAATTTGCTTGAGTGTTTGAAAGGTGATACTTTTTTATAGTTTAGTCTAATTTCAGTATAATTTATTATATTTAAACTAAAGAAGTCGAATATCATGGTGTATAATCACTTCTGGTATGACAGTCATTGGGGTTTTGACATCAGTTACCCTATCACCTCCGCCAACTTTTTCTCCTACTGAAATACTAATGTTTTCTACCAATTCTTCCATAGCCTTAGATCTCATAGTCACACAGCACGTTATCTCGTTACACTCTGAATCAACTAAATTGATATCTTGCTTGTCTATTGCTGAGTTAGTCTGAGATTCTTTGGAATCCTCAGAACCTATCAAACACCTGTAATGAACTTTCAATATACTTCTTGAAGCAGTTACTGGATTTCTGGGCTGCTTCCTCTTGCAATTTTCATCTTTTCCATCCTTCAGTCCCAGACTTTTTTGCTTTGAAAATATTAATTTCATATTGTGTTATTATAATTGAGAAGTAAGGGCTCTGAAATAACCTGAAAATAATAATATCAAAAGATATATTTATAAGATAAAATAAATTATATAATGTAAGTTGCTTTTAAAACTTAGATTGGGACACAAAAATCAAAAGTTGCATTTAAAATTCTGCAGTATTGTAGACTACTCAAAACTTTTTCAAATAATCGATTGTGTGCCACTTCAAATTGACTAATAAATAACTATTTATTAGTATTGACTGTGTGAAAAAATATTGATTTGGCTTATGTATTTTTGTTGCACCTACATGAACAACACTTAATAAATGCTAAACCATAAACTAACCTTGGTTTCAATTTTTTACATTTCTTTGAACTATTAAACTAGAAATTCAATCTTCATACAAGGTGCGAAACGCAGGTCAGGTCATTGAACTTTCCGTAAAAACATACTTCATTTTTAATAATGTGTATTTAACTAAATATGTAACTAAAAGTGTTAAATCTATTTAACTATGCATTCAGTTTACAAAATAAAGAATACAAAATCCATTCATTTGTTTTTAGCCAAGTTTGTGCCTTGTTGTCAAGTGATGCCAATTGGCATTAAACACCACTCAGAAATGAAACTCAATCTAATTCATGAACATGCTGATTCAAGAAATGAATATATGGAGGTACTTACTGTAAAAGTAAATCCAATATTTTTGTTCAAGGCACTGTCACTGACAATTAGATAACAAATCAAGTAGCTTCAATAATGCTCGCTTGCTTGGGAGTATTTAAATCAGAATCACAAATCACATGTAAACAAAATAAACAACTGTGCGAGAAGTGTTGAATTCGAACGAGCAAGTGCACCACTCATTCCCTCTTGCTCATTCACATCATTCAAGTCATTCACGTCATTCAATTGTGTGAGTCGCAGATGAGATTGTTTGATATGAATTGGTTTATTTTGATTTTTAAATTTAATAATTTGGCGATTTTGCCTCTTTGAAAGGCGCCTGGGGCACATGCATTACTTGCCTCACCCAAGGTACTCCTCTTCAGTTGGCTGTGTATTTACTGTTCTATACATATATATATATATAATTTATTTATATTTATTATTAACTTCCTAATTTTTACTTTCCCAGCTGTTATAGAGGGAAAGTATGTCAATCCAGCAAAAAATTGTCCCCAGATTTTTACATTTTTGGATTTAGGACTCCTTGAAACATCGAGAAATGCAAAAATGATTTATTTTCAACTTTGGGAGGTTTCTGTTGTTTAGAGCAGTGTTTTTCAGCTGTGTGTCCATGAAAAAATTTCATTGGTCCATAGAAAAAAAATATTTGACTGTACTGACACTGGCACAGTTGATTACAGGTGACATTTAAGTAGTAACTATAGATTATTACTGTATGTACTTTTTTACATATAGTAAATCTAGATAAGAACATAGTGATACCTCAGTTTTCATTGATAATCTGTCCGAAAACAGGCGGTTAAATCCGAAACTGGCAAAAACTAAGGCAATTATTTCCGTATGAATCAATGTAAATTCAATTAATTCGTTCTAGACAACACTCCAAGATACATATCAAAAACACATTTTATAGAGAATAAATATTGTGTAATACTAAAAACAATAAGAAATTAATATAAAATGAATATAAAAAACTAAATTTTTACCATGATAGACTCAATGACTGTACTTCTGGAACCTAAGCCTAACCTAACCTAGAGATTCTGGAAGAATGGCCATCTGGTCTACTATGGTAAGCATTACCTAAAAAAAACTAATGTAAAGAATAAATGAACATTTAACATAGCATTCAAAGGGCCTCTGGCTCTGGAAACTTTCTTTGGTCCCATGATGGAGCTAAAAGGAAAGGAAAACAATGGAATTGTTTTGCTAGACTCATGGAGTAATGTTCACACAATGAGAAGCAATGCCACACTGAGCAGGAAAACACATGGGTCTCCCTATGTTTTTGCAAAATTAGCAAGAGGTCACATGGGCACATTGACAAAATCAGGGGCATGCTGACAAAATCCAAGGCAACTGATGAAAACCAAGACAAACTTTTTGCAAAAAAATCTATGAAAAACGAGGTATTACTGTATAAGTGTAATAAAGAAGCAAAATTCATAATTGCAAAAATTTTTGGTCGTGGACCATGTAAAATTATCCATAATTTTACTGGTCCACGATGAGAACAAGATTGAGAAAAACACTGGTTTACAGGGTCTGTTTTAATGGATCTTACTGTATTAAATTTTACCAGAAATGTACTTGATAGCGTATAGCATATTGGAATGTTGTAACACAGTTGGGAATTTATGATAAAGATTTTGATTACACATACAGTACAATCAAAACTTACTGACTTCTTCCAACAATAAACAATAGCTATTCTGCTGCTGCTGCTACTTTGTCAGCTGATTGTTCAAGACAGTGATGGCAATAAATTTTTAGTTACAAACATAGGCAGTTGGATAGTCAACATGATAAAAGATTCAGCTTGCTACTGTAAGGAATTCAAGATTGAGTCAGAGTTGACTCAGAATCTTTTGTAGATGATTGATTTGGATATGCCAGGTCCCATACCAATTTAATTCAGATTGAAATGAAATTTTTTCATTTTGCAGTTATAGTTCTTTAACTTGTAAATCACATAAATTTTTCCTTTTATTTTGAATTTTATCATTATTCTCTAACTTTCTAAATTTGCTTCTAATTCCTTTTAACTGATTTTAATATTATATTTTTCCACTTTTAACTGTTTCAAGATGGAGGAAATTTGAACTGCTGTAAGAGTCTTTATTAATAAATCATTTGTATTTGATTCCTTGCAATTCATCTTCTAAAAAAATAAGTCAAAATTTTCTCATTCTCAATTATCTTGCCGACTGCATTAATAATGTTTTTTAGATGTTCTCTTAAACTTTGAAGTATTTTCCAAATAAGGTTTAATTGTAAGGTTATATTCTATTGACTTTGTGACTATAGTTTTATCAAGTAATTTTTCTCTTTTTTTCCTTATCAGATATAATAGATCAGGATTTCTTTTAATTACTGAATCCTTCATATAGTCCTATTCAGTATCATGTTTAACATCATATTAGTAACTCTGTAAAAACTCCACTCCCACACAAACTGAAAACAGCACTACTTCCATGTTAATGTATTATTGATTAGGAATGAATTAAAGTTGTTAGATCCAATAAAAATTTCTTTTAAAATAACTTGAAATCAATTTTAATTTATTAAGAGTTTAAAGTATTTTTTTCAGGTCTCATATAAATCAACCTGATGTCCTTTCTAGCTATTTAAATCCAATGTATGAACCTAATAATAAAGTGATTTGGCCAACAGTAGCACCACAAAGTTTGGTAAGTTTGTTTATGATATTGGAAAAACTTAATATTCAGTACTGTAATTATATTACATTGAATATTTATATCAAATGCCATAAATATTGTATTATAAGTTTTTATATAATACTATAGAATTTAAAAAAAAAATACATTACACTTAAAACTGTTCATTTATTTTATTTTGTAAAAATTTTTATTAATAATTATTTTGTAAAATATACAGCATGTCCAGCTATCTAGGGGTGAAAGAGATCTTTCTGGCATTGATTCGAAATGACTGCCTTCAGTAGCAATATAAGGATGTAGTCAGTTGAGAATGGCATTATGAATGGCATGTAGCATTTCTGGTGTCACCATTTCACAGGCTTCTTGTGTCTCTCTAGTTTTCCAATATAATCCAGTGCTGCTGGGACATTGATGCTTTTAGGAAACCAAACAGGAAAAATAGGGAGGGATCAAGTTGGTTATGTGGTGGCTATGGAATTGGGCTATGTCTTATCTAGTGGTTTCCAAACTAATTTGGAAGCGACTGACGTGTCTGGAAGTGAGCTGGTACTAAATCTGGTGTAATTTGCCAATTCATGTCATTAAGTCATTCATCCACAGTCATTCATCCACAGTCATGTTTATTATGAATGTGGATGAATGGCTATGCTGTCAATCAGTGTTGTATCGTGGGTGTCAGCAGCCTGGGGCGGAGGAAAATTTTGCCCCCCTTATTTAGGTATATCAGTTTAAAAGACCAAAATTCAGTTTTGTCACAGAACAAGCAATGAAAAATTCGGTGGTAGTGCAGCGACCTGTTTAAAATAGTTCTATTGGATATTAGTGGTGTATATGAACCGTACAAGCAAAAAAAAAAAAGGTCAACAGGTTTCGCAGGAATTCCTCGGATGAAAATGTACTAGTTCACCCGGCGAGCCGATTCGCTAGATGATACTATCGATACTTTGCTGGATGATAGCACTATCATAGGCACAATGCAAGTACAGATTAGGATGTTTCAAATTTTTACAAGATATTATTATTACTTATTGTGAAATTTTGCTGCCTGGGGTGGGCTGCTTCTGCCGCCCCCACTACGGTACGCCACTGCTATCAATGAATGAATGACAGAACCAAGAAACTGCTCACTCCAAACTAGACATTTAGGGTAAAATGCACTTGGTGTTGCACAGGTCATATGAATCACTCAGCTCAATGCACAGAGCTTTTGAGTACATTTCTCAGTGGTACAGTTTGTGATAGTTACAAATACACTCTTCTGGGAAAACAGTGCTTTGTCAGTTCATAAAATATGCTGAAGGTGTTGTGATTCATTATACAGGGTGCTTCATGAACAACTGTCCATTAGAGAGCAGTGCTGGGAAATTTGTGTTGTATGTGAACAGGGCTAGACTTTGTTGCATGCATAGAGGAAACATTTTGGTTAATTCATTAATGCTAGAGTTTAAGTGTTAATGATTGAGAAAGCAAAATCAAGTTAAAAAGTAATTAAAGATAGAGTACAGATTACAGTGATAAATTTTGTTACATCTTACATTGAAAATGGTGGCCATTTTCAATGAGGCAGGTAGTGAAGCTTGTGCTGGGCTAATTTGTCAATGTTTTTTTATAATTGTTTCAATAAGTTTTGATGATTAATAATTACATCTGCTTGCATCGTTCTTTAATTACAATAAATTTAACATTTAGTATATCTTATACTTTTTAAAAGTATTTTGAAATACATTTATTAAAAATTATTAGAGCTTTGTTTTTTGAAACCGTGTCCTGTTTTATAATTGTGGTGTAGTAAACACTAGTATTGTGTTTTATTTCAAAGTCACATGGCAAGTTTCCATCAAATTCCTTTATTAGTTGAGTTGACTCAACTAATAAAGGAATTTGATGGAAAACTTGCCATGTGTCTTTGGAATGAAACACAATACTAGTGTTTACTACGCCACAATTATTAGAGGTTGATAATTATATATTGATAGTACATATATAACTTATATATTATCAAATAAAAATTATTGTCATGTCAAGTTTTTTTCTAACATCAGAGTACATATATTAATATACAATAAATATCATTAACTGAAATTTCTGCATAAGATTATTTTTGTTGAGACTCAATTTTTAATATATTCATAGTAGTAGTTGTTTATATACAGTCGATCTCCCCTATAACACAGTAGATATGTTTCGGTTTTTATGAATCCATTTTCTACGAGTCCAGACAATCACAGCCGGCACATATGCAGTTTACGGACTACAGCTGTTTGTATTGAAAGGTTTCTTTCATAAAATTAATTGATTCTAGACTAATTCGACTCAACATTTTGAAAATACGTATAATTTTTTGGGAATAATCCATATAAACTATGCTATAAACAAAAAATTGTAGATTATTTACCGAGCATGCACTGTTCGACTACGCCATTGTTTAGCTTGTTTATGTCGTGGAACATGTCATCAAATGGCGCTCGCATGCTTCCCGATAAATTATTTTTTTCGCGAAAAATTTGCTTAACTTTGGAGACATCATTAATATAAATATAATTTTTATGGATGTTAAACAATAAATGGTTTTCAGTAGGTCTTCTGCTTGTTTAAACTCAACGGTTTGTACAATATCCGCTATTGGTCTAGATCCGACCAATCCTGTCACGACATGAGTCGGCAATGACATTTTACCGAATTATATGAGTTTTTTTAGCATGTTTGTATGAATACTGTCGCAATTTTTTCGCCATGATATAGGAATCCAAACTATAGGAACCTGTGTTATAGGGAGGTCGACTGTATTTTAACTAATTAAGTGAAAATAAAAAAATTATGTATTTACAGATATTATGGCCTGCAATGTATCTAAGATGGGTTTGTGATTTAAATCCACAAATTGAAGCATGGCAGACAATTGCAGAAATAAAAGAAAAGGATAAAGAATTGAAATCAAAGGCAATTAAATTGAGCGGGTACATTTCATTTAATTACAATTCTATTTTATTACTGTAATATAAATTTTAACTAAATAAATTAGAATAATGAAAAGATTGGACACAAAATTGAACTGTATATATTCATTGAATAATAATTGATAAGGTTAATATCAATAATATTTATTATATATGATTATAAAAATGTAATAAATGTAATATTTTAAACTTTTAAAAGGATTTAAATATGAAATATAAAATGTAATATTAAGATATTTTATAAAAAAAACATGATAACTTTCTTAAACAATAGATTTTTTTTTCTTTGTAAATTTAGGAAATATATTTTGACTTTAAAGTCAAGTTTATATTTATGAAAACAAAGAGATTAATATAATTTCTAGTTATCAAACAACAAAATTGTATATCTTTTACATTGATTTTCAAACTATTTTTGTTTTAATTTTTCAACTATTGATATTATAGAAAGGTTACAATTATTCATCTCTGTTAAATGATATTTTCATTTATTTAGTATTAATATATTTATATTTTTGAATGACTTGTATGATTTTAGAAATTTTTTTGGCTACAAATTTTTTGAAGGAAAGTCTGAAATAAGGTTTTTGTTAATTTTTTTTTTATTGTAAAATATATCAAAACTAAGTTAAATGCTTGCTCTTTTCTTTTTGTTGTTATATTTTTTTTATAATAATAGAATTTGATTGAGATATTTGGAATTGGAATGGATTTAAAATATAGTTATTGAACCTTGGCAGCATTATCAATGTTTCTGTTACCTCTTGTTATGAAAGTCAAATCTTTTTAATTGTCTTAAGAGGGTCAAAGACATTCCCAATTAATTAATTAAGATTAACATAAATTTGAAGTAAGAGTAGCTAATTTAATTAAATTGCTTGTCTTTTTGTTGTTCACAAACTTTAAAAGATGAAAATTGTTTTTTTCTTTTTTTCTTATAACTTTGAGAACCATTTTATTAATTGAAGCAGGAAATATATCTACTTTTTATTCATTTTCTAATATCAGACAAATAATTGAATGTTCTAGTAATCTGGATCCATCATAGATCTATAAGTATAATTATGAAGTAAGCTAGAAAATATACTCAAGAAATCAACTGTTTTCATACATTATACATTAATGTGTATCTTCTGAGGATGATTTATTTCATGTATGAATTTGGATTAAATGTGAAAAATTACATAAAGTGAACAGTTGATAGAAAAATATCTGAAATCTTTCAGCTTTTTCAAAATAATTTTTCTTTTGTTGACTTTTAACCTGTTGTTGTAAAATTCAGAAGTTTCTCAATTCATGTTACAATCAAAAGTTAAACAAGATTGAAGTTTTGTAAGTAGCTTTAAGTAAAGGTGAAATTACATATTCAAAATCAGTGGAGCAATTTTATTTGTTTTCCTTATTTTCAATTGTTTGGCAATGTTTTAATTTAACTGGTTCTTAGTTTTATAGATTTTTATTTTTGTTAGTTTCTGATGATTGACTTTAATAATTTAACTACTCAGCTTAATTATCTTAACTCAGTTGTAATTACTTTAAAGTTCAGTTATTGCAGGAATATCAATTTTTTTTTCTGCTTTGTAACACAATGCTTCATGTTGCATAAAGATGTGCTCTTTATTATCAAACCATTCTTTTATTCACAGCAATAGATGAGTTTCAAGCCAAAAATTTTGAATTTTAGAAATTCATTTATTTCCTGTAAAATATGATTTGTTATCATAGTTATGAAAATCTTTAAATACCGTGTTTCCCCGAAAATAAGACATCCGCAGAAAATAAGACCTAGCACAGATTTTGCTGAATTGCGAAATATAAGACCTCCCCTGAAAGTAAGACCTAGCGAAGTTTTTTTTAGTCGTAACGGTCATCGACAGATGGTTGAAAGTGGCCGTTGCCTTTTTGAAAGTACAGCTACTGATTGGTCAGCAGACAATTACGATACACGGCATGATTTGCACAAGACTATGGCTTGGGAATCACAGATTTGCATAACGTTACGGCTGGTGATGGCTAATTGGTCGGCCGGGAATCACGCCACATTACATTTGCATAGTGCTACGGTTCAGTAAGCACTAATTGGTCATCGAGTCCGATGTTGACGCTATGAAAAGGCGACAGTTCGACAAACCGGATATACATCACCCTCGTCTAAGTTCGACTTGGGAATTATTTTGTTCAATAATAAATGTGAATTCTTCTTCCTGGAAAAAATAAAACACTCCCTGAAAATAAGACCTAGCATATTTTTCAGAGCAAAAATTAATATAAGACACTGTCTTATTTTCGGGGAAACACGGTAGTAAATACCATTATAATGCAAAATTAAAATGAAGTTTTTTTTTTAATATTGAAATCATTAAGACTTAATTAATGTTTTCTTTGCTCAAAAATAATTATACAAAGAAAATGGTAGGAAATAAAATTATACTTTTCAATTTCAACATATCCTCAGACTCATTAAATATTATATAACACATACACCTTATTGCTGAGAATCATATAAAAACAGTAAAATGATTCTCAGCAATAAAGTGTATGTATTATATAATACTTTTCAATTACACATACATTTTCAAATTTTATGACTTCACAAACAAAAATACAATCTGATATTTTTAAGTATTCTTGTTTGTTTTAAACTTCGTATTAACTATAAATAAATCATTTATTTCACCACATTACACCACAGATCTTATTTCTGATATTATGATTTTAACATTTTTATATATTCAATGAATATATCTTTATTAAAAAGTACAGTAGAAACTCCATATTTATGAGGATTGTTTGTAAGACTGCTATAAATATAGATACTACAAATATGGGAAGGGAAAATGTATTGAAAAAATGTTAGGAGAAGAATGATAAAAAATACATAAGTAAAAATAAAAACATATTTTCAAATAAAGAAGTTTTTCTATTACATTTCTAATCTCTCTCTTTCTTTTCTTATTTATCTTATGTTAGATTCATTTATGACAAAAGCAAAACCAACCATAGATACGGATTTACCTTCCTGCAAAGAACCTTGCACTGTAATTTTGTCTACATGGACATTACTTCTTTCAGCTTTCTTGATATTGTACAACTAGTGTGTTTGTTTATATGAAATTGTTGATTTGTAAAGATTAAAAAAAGGCTAACTAAAATTTTGTGAAATATAATCAGTATCCCAAAAGTTTTTGGAATGAGCCTTTTTCTAAGAAATAACAAGCATATTACTATGCTGTACCTTCAAAATGGTCTTCTTGTGCAATGATGCAATGGTTCCAATGGTATTGAAGGTCCTCAAAGAAGCTCTGGAATTTTTCTTTTGTAATGGAATTAAGTATATACAGCCTATTGGATGAAGTCCACATCATCTGTCTATTCTTTGATAGACAGATGATGTGGACTTCATCCATGTGTTTCAGATGGGGAAATAAAAAAGAAGGTCATGGGGACAGTTCAGGTAAGTAGGGAATGTGGAAACATTGTCACCTGTTTTCCAGTCAAGAATTGTTGCAACAATAAGGTGGTAAGAGATCTTGTGTTAGCAAGAAGACATCACAAGAAGGGACTGATGAAGTTTGGGATGACAGCAGTATAGAGTTTGCAATAATGGCTGCAGAACATCAGTAGATGTGTTAATTAACAGTCTTGCTCTGAAGAACAAATTCCTTATGCCCAATTTCCCTTGCATCAGAAATCAGTTGGTATGGTTTTTGTCTTCAGTGGGTGACTGACTCTTTTCAATAGCAGTGATCCAAGGCCTTTCCACTCAGCACTTTGTCATTTGGTTTGCAGGTTGTATTGGTAGTACCAGTTTTCATCTGTTGCAATGATACAGTACAGTAGCATGGGGTTATTATGGACAGTTTCCAGAAGATCGATGCAATCTCAACATGTTCAATTTTCTTATTTGTTTATAAAGCCTTGTAAAATACAATAGGATCTAAAGGAGAATGCTGTATGGAATGATTTGAGAAAAAGGCTGTCTGGGAACTTCTGGGACAAAGGTTCTATAATGTTGATTTTTACAATGCAAACTAATACAAATTATAACGATTACTATTCATATAATTGCACTTACTAATATAACCAAAGTTGAGATAGCATCAATTAATCGCACAACATGAATTACAAAGAACTCATTTAAGAGAAAAACATTGAAAATTATTTTATTCTCTTTATTTGTAATTTTATTATTATTGTTAATTCTTTTGCAAATAAGCAAAGTTTAGCTTTATAAATATTAAAAATAGTTGCAAATACTGAACTGTGAATATATGAAATGCATGAATGTGGAATTCTACTGTATTTTGAATATCATTTAAACAAAATTTAAAAACTAGGATGAATTTAGCAATGCAGGGATTTAAACTGTCATTTATATTGATTGCTTTAATGTTGAGTATTTTAATTAGCATTAAAAATATAAGTAATTTGTCATTTAATTTGAAAGATGGCATTCTAAATTTTGAGAAATTTTTATATAAACAAACATCACTCATTTATAATAAAGTTTAGGAGAAAAAAATTTTAAATAAATAAATATACTATTATTCGTTATTTATATTTTGTTTTTATAATTATTTTGCTATAATAAAAGTTATGATTTGATTTAAGTTTATTTCTAATTATGATTATTTTCTTTTAATATCATGTATTATCATTTTCTTGGAGGATCAAATCACAGAATATAATGTGTAAATGTAGAAAAATTTAATTTTTTAAAATTGCTCTTTGATAATTTTTTAACTAAAATATATTTCAATGTAATATTTAGATATCATTATATAAAATTAAAGAAGTGTTATATGAAGAGTCTGACAAGTACTTCTTGTTATGCTGACAAGATTTGATAATGATTTAGATTTCAGTCTATAATGTTAATTACAGTAATACCTCAACTTACGCTACCCTGACTTACGCGATCCCAGAGTTACATGATTTTCAAATCTCGTTGATTTGTCTTTTGTTTGAGTGCCACGCAACTCTTGATTACTCACCCCCCA